CACCCGGGTTAGCTCGAGAAAGGTGACCAGAACGCTGGAGTTTCTAAACACAGCCATGTAGAGAGTGGTCAGATAACAACTGCTCACAGTCCATTATAAGTTGCATAAGCACCACTGCTCAATCCAACGGGAGGAGCACAGCAGAGACAAAAAGTTCAAAGAGCTGGTGTCGAGGGCCGAAAATGGCGATTACGCGGGCACCGTTTTCATCGACGACAAACATGGAGCGGAGCTACAATCTTCAAACTCGAGGATGCCCGCATGAGGTCTTGAGGAAGTCAGTGAGAGTGAAAGGAATATTCGCCACAAGCAGCAGCCGAACCGTAACCGAACGGAGGTTTCAAGTACCGGTCGCTTGTTGTCACTACCTGTTTAAAAAGGAATGCACTGCGGAAAAAGGAATGGAATGCGAGCCTGCACTAAACATTGCATCTACATGGATGAGATAGAGCCTTTTCTCTGCAAAGTTTCGAAGAGAACACCCCAGGATGCCATGCGGGCCACAGTAGAGTTGCGTTCGAAGCAATTGGGAGCCATACTCACAACAACAGGAGCATATCCAATGAATGTCATTCCTTTCAATATGTAAATGTATTGCTAAAATTTTTGTAAAACCTCTTGAAGATACATCCATTTGAAAGAAGTTACAAGGAAGAAAAGTGGTGCAATATTTATGGGACACTCTGTATTCCAGCAGGATTGAAATGTTGTTAAGGTCTGAGCATTTAATGCATACACTGTGGTAGGCATAGTGCAGGAAAGGTTTCAGCAGATTCAGCATAGTCAACATACTTTGACTCGTATCTGCTTTATTGGTACACATCATACTTATAACCCATCGTCAAGACTCTATACCAGCCTTACCATTTGCCAGAGCACTATACCAACACGCAACAAAGGCAGCAGTTTGTCTTCCAACCCCTTTTAGTTATCCAGTTTTGCTCCGCCCGCTCTCGCGCGCATGTCAACATAGGCTTCATTGAAACTGAGCATAGCCGGGCTATGTGTATTGAGTAACATACTGCTTTCAATGGATTTGACTGATGGTATTAAGGAAATCAGATGATAAAGCAGTAATTTCTCATAGTTCTTCAATACCAATAAACATCCATCATTTTTCTGGAACTAACAAAGTCTAGCAGCCGAATGACCTTTGGATAACTAATACAATTACTTGGGCTGCTTATTATCAGCCCTTACGGTAGCGTAAACATCTACCGTGATTTGAATGAGAAATGTTACAGCCGGCGAATAACCTCCTATACATCTGACGATATATTATAGAAACACTAATAGTTATCATATTTACACAGACGCCGACCATTAAAGAAGCTGGAGCAGGTCGAATGGATCACGGCGACATCGCGGAGAAATGATATTTTTTCCTATCCAACATTCGAATGAGAGTGACACCTCCCTTTTGACGCTTCTTATCAGCCTATATCAGCTGTATCACTTTCAGGGCCCCTTCCACTGCTCTCACCGGGATATGACGTCATCTTCCATCACCGTTGAGCTCAAGAAGGCCTACCGTAATCGTTCCAGCCTGAAGCTGCTACGAAATTTCTTCAATCGGTTAACTGACGGATTGCTTCCTAGGACAGTAGCTCTAAATATGCAAGACCCCTTCCGACCAGCGTTTCAGATAACGTCGTAAAGGTCCATGATCCGCCGAGGACCAGTTGAGCTCGAACCGTGCACAAGGTTCCCATGGCAAATTCTTGTGATGTCCTTGGTGCAGAAAGCTATTATAATGTTTATTGATAGATTGGGATGTGCTCTTCAATACTAAGTTGGGAGCAGTCAGTTTGAGTTGAGCAAGTGTGATCAATGCTGTCTGGAATGTGAAGTGCCTTTTCTTGCCCCCCCCCCTGTAGTAGCTTAGCGCAAGGCGCTTTTTTTACGAAGCACAACAGTAAGTACTGCACGAGGCTGACCAAAAAATGTTCTATTTGGGGATGTTTTACAATATTTCCAGGTACCTTAATTATTGAGTCTTCTTTTCTCTATTTAAATGAGGAAATAATGAAAACAAAACTGTTTACCCTGTATGCGATTTTCATTCCTTCGTTATCAGCAATGTTCTCTCTGACGGACACGGTACCGTTCAGAGGTGTATCGAATTTTGGAATCTGAAAAGTGCATTGTCTTCGTATTCGTTTTTCTTAGAAACCTATAACTTGCTCTGTCGGTTTGGATGCATTTTGCTACCACGCGCATGTCAAAGTGTACTAGCTAACGATCACCTGCCAGTCGTTTCTATCGTGTTATCTGGATTTTTTTCTGTTAGTAATGAAACTATTATGGACCAATATATAACTCCAAACTATATGGTAGACTGAAGGGGTAAACGCTCCGTTTCAAAAAAAGTCCTTCAGGCCGAGGTAAAATCTTGGTTTGGTTTACTCTTGTTCTTCTTGAAATTGCGACGAACAACGATTCATCCACTTATTTATTTATCGCCTGTGCTTTTGGCATATGAGAGAACCAAACTTAACCAACGGAAAATAACAAATAATCAATTCGACACCTTGCATCCGCACAGAGCGGCGGCGCATCGATACCGCTCTGCCACCGTCTGCCCATTCCTAGCTGGTATTGCCGTGAGTTGATTTGGAGTTTCCATTCCGGTTGAGCAGTTTAGTTAGCTTTCATTTCTTCTGGCGTCTGCTGCCATTTAGGAAGAGGCAGGGATAGGAATTAGCTGCTACTTTTTTTACTCTTTGAATTTCGCTTTTTTTTTCTCGGCGCCTAACTATCGATTCGTTATTTCGATTGGCCCCTTGACCTGAGCGGAGATCTGTTTGCCTTTATATCTGTTAGGTCTTGTAACAGATATTTAATTGTTACTTCCCCTTTATTGCTCTTTACAATGATGGCAGGTAAAAGAAATTCGCGTAGTTCCAAAAAAAGTCCTCAAAAATCCGCAAAGCCAGCCACAGCTGCGCTCGATCAGTCCGCTGAAGGTGGGACCGACTTTCGGTCTTGCTCTGTCAGTGAAATTCTCAGTGCTATGCAAGAGCGAAACACTGACCCGCTCATAAATGAGATGATTTTAGCGTTACAAGAGAAAATGGTTCAGACAGTTTCCGTGCGATCGAGGAAGACCGTAAAGGTCGTAGTATAGTGATTGCCGGTTTGACTGAAGAGTCCCGTGAGCTGCCTGCTTCGCGTCGGCAAATGGAGCTTGAAGATAAGGTAGCAGGTATCCTTGATATTTTAAATGTTGAATGTCGACCCGAGTGCTTTACCGTATGGGGTCCTACGACGATTCAAAAATTAGACTAGTTAAGGTATTGTTGCCCTCAAAATCACACTGGCTCAAGTCTCTCTCCAATGCGCGTCTACTACGGCAATCGGTCTTGTCGAATGTGTTCATAAGAAGAAGCATGTCTGCTGAAGAGCGGTTGGCTGAATCAAAATTAAGGCAAGAAGCTCGCGACCGTAACAACATCGCAAAGAAAAAAGAATGGGTTGTTATAAAAGCGAGCTAAAGAGGATCAGCGAACTGCCTTCAAGCCAGAAGTTTTCAACTCAGAGTGCCTCATCTATGAATACGGTAAACAGTTATGAAGCATGGTGCTTCGTCAACACTAAGTTGTTATCTACTTAATTCCCGGAGCATAGTGAATAAACTACCCCTTTTGCACTCCTTTCTTGCCTTGAATAATCCTGATATCCTACTGATAACTGAAACATGGCTTGATATGAGAACTTTGGACTCTGAAATACTAGGTCGTCTGAATTATAAACTTATGCGAGCTGATAGGAAAGGCCAAAGAGGAGGAGGAGTTTGTGGACTAGTTAAAAATCATGTGCTGGTACGCTCATCTGCTAAACAATTCAGAGGCCTATCCTCGGATTTACTTTGTTTTGATGTTATTTCTGAGAATGTGGTCGAACCACTGCGCATTGTTCTAATCTACCGCCCGCCAAGTTCCTCCTTCGATAAAGATGAAATACTGATCGAGGCTCTTTATGACCTTTGCTCAGTATCCTACCCTTTGATAGTCACAGGTGATTTCAATTTGGACATAGACTGGATCCAAAACAGAGCGCGGACATACGCAAGCGTACGTTTTATGGAAGCTTTCTCGTTTTGCAATCTTAGACAATGGGTTATGTCCCCCACCAGAGGCCAGTCGATTTTGGACCTAATTTTGACATCTTGTGTTACTCTTAGGGATGTACACATACTTCCTCCTCTCGGCAATTCTGATCATAGTATCGTTCACTTTTGTGTTGACTACATAACTAGTGAAAGTCTATTTCTGCCGGAGCCCGATTTTAATCGTGTTGATTATGAAAAGCTCAATGACTGCCTGAGCACAATTGATTGGGATCAGCTATTCAATGGATACAAGTCAGTTGATGAACTCTACTTTAGATTTTGCTCAGTTCTATATTAGATGCTTCTCAGAATTGGTCCCCTTCCGGTATTCGAGGTACAAGAGGCAGCAGTACCCCTTACACATCAAAAATCTGTTCGACCAAAAATCTCGGCTGTTTCGAAAACTCCATAACCCCCTCTCCAATACCCTTTATAGGAAAGTCTGTTCAGACATAGAATATCACACCAAAAGGTACCTGGCATATCTAGAACGTCGTCTGCTAGATCGTAATAAGAGCTCTTTCTTCTCTTACCTCAGGGGTAAGATTAAAGCCAGCCCGAAGCCTACATCTATGGTAGATGAAAACTCACGCTTTGAACTCAGATAAAGAAATAGCCATGTCTTTTGGGGAGTATTTCGCCAACGTGTTCTCTCAATGCAAGCAGTGCGCTGTTCCAGTTGCACCAAATAACGAACCTCCTGATCCCGAAAGATCTAATACCTTTCCAGACTTGTTTATTCATCCTTGGCATGCACTAAGAACTATGAAAAAATTGAAGGCCACTTCTTCTGCAACGTATGATGGCATACCCCAGGTTGTGTTTCGAAGATGTTGTCATGCCCTTCAGTATCCAATTGCTTTCATTTTGAATGCATCATTACTTTACGGGGAAGTTCCAATGATATGGAAAGATGCTCTGGTTACCCCTATCCCGAAAATCATCGCTGCCAGTAGGCCTTCGCATTTCAGACCTATAAGTATTTGCCCGGTGGCGGGTAAGATTCTCGAAAAGATTATTGGGGAGAAGCTTACCGACTGGCTAATTGAAAGAAAGCTTATACCACCCCAGCAGCACGGTTTTATGCCTGGAGTATCGACTACTTCACTGCTATGTGATTCACTCTATGATTGGCTTACAGCTCTCAATGTGGGTAAATCGGTTGATATTATATATTTTGACCTGACTAAGGCTTTTGATAAGGTCTGCCAACGTAAGCTGCTTAAGAAACTAGAACTATGCGGTATTCAAGGCCAGGTTCTCGCCTGGTTAGACTCCTACCTGAGAGAAAGGCATATGACCGTTAAATTTGGAAACGAGTATTCGGTTCGTCACCTGTGTCCTAGTGGGGTTCCCCAAGGGGGAGCTCTTTCTCCATTACTCTTTCTACTGTATACGGCGGACCTACCAGAGTTTCTCAAGGAAAAGATGCTGGATTGGTCTGACAAGTGGGAACTCCCAATCAACTTATCGAAAACAATACATCTACACCTAGGCCCTTGCCCATCGATACCATTTCGGATCTCTGGTGTCTCAATAAGGAGTGAACGTTCAGTGAACGATCTGGGAATTACCGTTGATGACTCTCTTACTTTCAATAGCCATATTTCCATGGTTGCAAGACCCTCAGGCCATGCCGCCTTATAGAGATAGACTAACCATCTTGAACATGGAAAGTCTGAAATATAGACGAGTATTCTGTGACTTAGTTTTCGGCTTTCGGGTCATCAAAAGAGAAGTCAAACTACGAGCGAGCAAGTATTGGATTTTTCGGCCTTACAGAAGGAGTGTAAACGGGTACAATATTCATCATAGAAGATTACATAGAAATTGTTTCAATACTATTTTTCACTCATTCTTTTTTCGCATTGCCAGATGGTTGCGCTTATTGCCGCAAAGTTTACTTTCTTGTGAAAACTCAATACACTTCCGCAAAAAGCTAAAGAAAATCAACATTTTCGAGGTCTTAAGAATCCAAGATATTTGATTAGTACCTCGTTGGTAGTCCAATGTGCTTATAATTCATACGCTGTTACAGCTCATCTTGGTCACTCAGTATTATCACTTGGTTATAACTTCCGCGATTAAAGGATGGTCGCAAAACTATGGCGGTTGGTCGTATACTAGCGGCTTTGGTATATTCCCTTGCTGGAACCATCAGTGAGAGAACGGTCGTCACAATGGTTGGCGTCAACATACATTCCATCTACTGCCATCACGTTGATGTTGATGTTTCTCATGTAGTATCCGGTAGTATCCTTTCTGACTCGGCATATGATATTGTCTCTTCCTTTAAGTGAACGGTACTTCACTCGCCGATACTATGTGACTCATGTCCGAGTAACACTTTGTTATACTTATATGGACTCGAGGTTGGCCACTGAGGATCAGAAGGCTATTAGATTCGCAACTATACAACCTATCCAACTGAAGAAGTACTGGTCTTAATAGCAGTAGCTTGCGCTCTACTCATATACAGCAAACAGCGATGAGATACTACTGTGACGTCCCTTAAACTTCGCGTCTTTCTACTCAGTCGAGTACAGGGTAGTCGTTGCTGTTGGCTTGTGGACTGATTGCAGTTGCCTTCAACATGGACCCAGCTTACCAATTCCACGTGGGCGGCCGGTATACCCGTGTCTCGAAGCTTTGGTAAGTCCCTATGACCCCTTTGTGTGGCGAAGGGCATCACAGCCGGCTGATGCGGGTGCTTGTTGAGGGCATTGCAAGATGGCTTCAGGGCAACAGTGACAGCTATCCTTTACAGGTTTGATGATTACTTAAAGAAGCAGGGAGAGCTAGTATCGTCACAATCTCTTTCCGTCATGCATAGCGCAATCGTTACTTGCTACCTGGCCCAGTTCAATTATATCTTTAGTTCTGTTCCTTGACTGCCTCCTGGTTCTCAGGTCGGTCACATTTGTTTTCATTGGTTAGTCTCATATGCTCGTCTGGGGTTTCAATCTGAGCACTTCTTTCAGATTTTGATTCTCTGAGTAGATAACGCTTGGGCTTGATTTT